GGTTACAGCATCCTCTTCTATCCCATCATCCTCCAGGCCAGAGCTGCTGGAACAGCTGTGGAAGGCCAGAGCAGAGAAGAAGAAACTGAGGAAGACCATCAGAGAGTTCGAAGAAGATTTCTATCAGCATAATGGAAGGTAGGTGGGACACGTGCGCCCACACATGCACGTTTATTTAAGGAATGAAGTCCAGCTACATCACATATGTTCAGTGATTTCAGCTTTGTCTTTTTAAACTCAGCAGAGAGTTTATTCAGTGAATCAGGACAACCTTCATGTAGGATGTATACGTTTGTGACAGACTCCCTTTTCTGTATTCATGCAGCACTTTTCTGGTCTCTCAAGGCTTCTCTATTGTGAAAAAATAAATAGCACACCTTCTGACAGCCAAGTCTTTGTGTTAGAGCTTTGTCTGTCTGGATAGATCAGCAAAAAAACAGTCTCAGCCTGTGTGTGGCAGGTAATTTGACCAAGCTGTGAAAATGAAAGCCAGGCGGGGTGTGAGGACCATATAGCAAGGCAAAAAAAAATGTTTTACCTTCATACTATGTTCAAGATGTCACGTCCTGTCAGTGTCGGTACAGTTACAAGTGATCCACTGACTAGAACGAGCAGAAGTTTCTCCAAGATCAGTTTTTAGTCAAGAAAAATATCCTTATTGAAGCTCCACCTGCTTGGCAATAAACACGCTGCATTTCCTGCCAAAACAAATTAGCTGAAGTGAAGGAGCAGCTGGATCAGGTTCACCGTGCTCAGCAGTAACTTAACAGGTCCGACACGGCTGACAGCGATCAGCAAACTGAAGGGAGCGGCAGGGAAATTAAACGAATAAAAAGTCTGCGTTTCAGATGGAAGCTGCAAAAGTACTGAGAGCTGATTAAGGGAAAAATAAAAACATAAAAATAATTAGAGATATTAGACCAGTGCAGAAACCTCACAACTCTGTCTGCTCTCGTTCCTCTTTTAGAAACGTTCAGAAGGAGGACCGGGTGCCGATGCTGGAGGCGTACAGAGAGTACAAGAGGATCAAGGCCAAACTCCGCCTGCTGGAGGTCCTCATCAGCAAGCAAGATTCCTCCAAATCCATCTAGACCCCTTCCTCAAATATCCGCTATCCCCGCACACATCAGCTGTCATCACTGCAGCAACGCTACGCCCAGGACGTCTAGCCTGTCATCACGCCTGGAGAGTTTAACAAAGACTGCAGCCAATCAAACACACAACAAATGACCTCCTGTTCCCTGCAGCCACATCACGGGGAAATTAAGTCAGCTCTGACTGCTTTTATTAAAAAGTTTAAAAAAAATAAAATGAAAGTGCCACGAAATCGTAAATATGGTGTAGCTAAGCTACAAATAGCCTCACAAAAATTAAAATGGTACGGAAACACCCGAAATATTCAAAAAGCAGAGGTCACAACGAGAAACACATAACCGACTCTGCCACATATCAAACAGAAGAATATTTTAGGGCGGCTTCAAGTGTCATTTCCTTAAATTAAAAAATGGAACGACATCTCAAATGTTTTTTAAACGTGTTAGTGATCCAATCTGCCAAATGCCTGCAAGTGTGTGAGGACGAACACTGGAAAAGTAAAGCCGTCATTTAATGTGTGGCCAAACCGAGGTGCTTTGCCAAATATCTGAAACCTACGTTTTAGTCGAGCATTTTAAAGTTAAATGTGCGTTATTACAACTTTTTCCCCCTGATGTGAATGCAGCACGGCCGCTGGTCAAACTTAAAGCAACTTCCATCATCCACATTGATCCCCGCTGCCTCAGTCTGCATATCATCTGAAATCAGCAGTTTAAAAAAAAGACAAAGAGAAACTAATCACTGTGTGTATCATCATCATCATCATCATCATCTCACCAGTTTGACTCACGACTCTGCACTCGTCTCTCACCTCCTGGTTTTCTGACCAGGAAGAAAAAGGCAGAAGCATTTTGACTTTTTGATTTCAAGAACATCACTGTTGTCGATCTTTGTGTTTCTGAGGAATCTCATCGGACAGCTCGAGGACTGGCATTTTAGACTCTTCACTCAACACTTCGGATTCATCTGGAACGTCTCGCACTGCGCTTCAACCTCTTTCACTTGTTGCAAAGCGATTTTAATAATAATCTAACATCCTTACATCCTGGATGCCTCACCTTCTGACTGATTTTAAATATTCATCCACAAGATTTCAAAACCACTTTGTTTTAAAAAGATGTACACGTGCAATTAGTTACACCGTACAAGATTTATTGCAACAAAAGTATTAATTCTTTTCGTTATTTTCTATTCTTAGGCGTTTTCTTCTACTTTTTGTTTGCATTTCAAAAAACAGTGATGTGGGAGCATCTTGCAAAAAGAAAAAAAGAAATGCTGCTTTAAGTCTTTCGACGAGGCCTATTTAAACAGAAGATGCTCACAGGAAACAGTTGTTCTCAGCTTAATCAGCGATGCAAAGGACGGCTGCAGAACTCTGGGACTTTGCTCCTTGTGTTTCATCTGTCTCCTGTTCAGTTTGCCACATTGTAGTTCCTGAGGAATTATGGGTGATAAATAGGTCTGTGTTGTTTTTCATCTGAGAATCCAAAAGCATGTTGGCAGCGGGCATTAGTAGTCATGTGACTAATCTGGAGGTTTTAATTGAAATTTGATTGAAGCTGAGCAGATCATTTGTATGTTAGCATGATGTCCTCAATACTGAGAGAGCTGAGGTTGTTTTTAACGAGTGAACGGTGTTTAGGTGTGCCTCTGACCTCCGGTCTGCAGTTTGATTTCCTGCTGGCAGGTCAAAGTAGGGCAGGTAAGGGGAGCAAAGTCTGATTTGAGCTCTTCTTAGTAAGAGTTGAGGCGTCACAACGTGCTTTAAAATGTGGGACAAAAGTTCCCGACAGTCACTGAATTTTGGTTTTAAGCTGCGAGCTCGTCAGTCGGCCGTTTGTCGTTTTTCTTCGATCTGCACTTGCATGTTTTAGGCGCACGGGACAAAGCTGACGTACGATTCTCTGCCTGGTTCAGAGTTGGCTGCAGGCTGTCTGTCGGTGAGCATTCAAAGCTATGAATGAGGTGAACCTTTTGTGTTGTGTGAAGATTATTAGGAGCGTGAGAAGTTGGGACGGTTGAAGTTAAAAAGTTTGATGTAAAAAGATGTTATTTGCACAGCATTCACAGAATGCAGCCCTTTTGTGTTTTATAATTTTTTTTCCATTTGTATTTCTAGAAATGAAGCACTACTTCTATACAGAAATTATACTGTACATTTAAAAAAAAAAAAGAAATACCCGAAGGAATGAATGTCAAAAGAAATGTTTAAATTATTTCAAACATTAAGTTTGGCCCCCTTTGGTTTATTATTATTTGTGATGCCCTGAGAATGTGTTTTTTATTATTATTATTAATATTATGAATACTGCTTGTAGTATCATAACCATTATTTTGTGTGGTAACGACAATAATAATCCTTTTGTATGTACTCACTAACTGTAAAACCAGCTGTAGACGTTAGTCTGGCACTGTGTGGCGAGACGTACATGAACCTGCTCTGTTTTCTGAATTACTTTGTTGCTCTGTGTAATATAAGCTAATATAGAAGCTGTACTGTAGTGAGCTTGCATGGCAAACAAGAACATAATCATATGAAAAGAAAAAAATGTTTCCATTATTTGTGCCATGAAGAAGCAGCAATAATATGTTTGTGTTCTCTTTAACACAAAAGCGTTGTGGGTTTGATCCCGTGTGAACACGATGTTTTCGGGGTTGGACGGTGTGTTTTTTACCTCTGCGTCACGTCGGCACTGAAATCCAACGTATCAATAAGTCTGTGAAACTAGCAGGGATTGAAAAGCCAATGACAGATGTATCATCTGAAAACATTCCAGTTTTTATCGTCATCAAAAAAGTGAAGAAAAACGATCCACCGTCAATATCTGAAGGGCTTTTATTTCTGTCGACTTGTTTTTCATTGTGCCTGTAGCAGAGTGGTAAAATTCACAAATGTAAATGTATTCTGTCGGTGTACAGTATGCTTCATCTCACACTTACCCATCTGACGTGCATGGTTGTTTTACACACCGGGAATTCAGAGCAAAACTCCTCTTCAAAGACGTCTCCTCGGTCCTCCTGGAGATACTTTAGAGATTAGACACATTTTTACTAACTGATTATTTAAAGTGATTTAAATAAAAGTTGTCCAGAAGTTAGTTTAAAAGACAAATTATATCTTTTTCCTTTAACTACAAACAGTCTGAAGTCAAGAGGAAAACCTCAGGACATCCTTGAGATGGGATTTTGCTATAAATTCCTTCAGTCGAGATTTCAGGAGGGACGTGGCATCAGACGCTCCCTCCCAGTTCCTCCAGTCGACCTACACGTGACGCGTTTTAACACATTAATATATCGTATGTATCTGTAACTGTTTTCTTACTTTGTGAATGCTTTTTCAGTTGTTCCTTCATTGACAAAAATGAGAAAATACAATCAGTAACGAACATTTACACACGAAAATAAAATTTACAAGCTTGCCACACCACTTTTCCCGACTGTTTTATTTTTTAAATGAAATATACTGGGACCAGGATGTCCCCTGCCAACTTGCCCTGAATATTAAATAACTGTTATGTCCATTTTAAACAAACAAATCCTTAAGATGACTGATTTAACCCAGTAACACTTTAACCATTAAAACCCATCCAGGTTACAGACTGGTTTTGGTTAAATTAGAATTTAACCAGCTCTGCAGCCATTTTTCATCAATCTATGCTAATTTTTTAATTACTTTAAGTATTTATAAGTATTTAATTTGTCTTATTATCACGCAAATATGATTTATAGCGTAAACAGATGCATCTCTAATAATTTTTCTTCATCAACATTATGTGTGATGTTCTCCAATTGCAGGCTGTAGTGCCCATAAAAGTAGTTCTATGCTCTATATATCTACAAATAGATAGATAGCGTAGTAGTAAGACCACACTCCTTTGGAGCAGGAGTTGCAAGTTCGATTCCCACCCGTTCCTATATACAGTAAGGGAATCTTATAACCTTAGACCTATGAAATCTTCAATACCCAACATCCACAGTTGATGGCAAAACAACTAATAGCTCTCAGTGTTCGTTTGGAAGAAGGGACTGCTCCC